TCCCTGGGGAGTGGATGGGGGATGGGATGGGGGGGGGTCGGTGGGGTCAAGGGAGGATGGGAGGGAGAAGGATATGTGGTTCACTGCTTAAAAGTGTGTCTTCACAAAACAGCCCTACAGACTACAGCCAGGATTTCTGAATCTTCTTCGAATCCCCCACGACAGCGCCCCTTACCAGCAGGAAGTAGTTTGGAAAGAACGACGCCCAAATTCCCAAATATTGTGTATAAATGTTTGTTTTCATTAAATTGGACTTTGTTATATAAAATTAAATAAAAAAAAGTGTGTCTTCAAACCAATGGGGAAAAAATAATGTTGCATAAAGCTCATAATATCGTCCGTGACAAGATGCAAGATGATATAAGAGTACAGAATGGAGCAATAAGTAGTGCTTGCCACCAATGAGAGTGGGATAATTAGTATTCATTAGGCTGTAGAAGAACCTAAATCCACTGTTTTTAGTTCTGAGCTTGTCTTAGAGGTTATTGAGTCATTAAGCAAAGATGGATATTGAGGAAGCCTGTGTCTAAAGCTACTTTGGTACCTGTGATCACATCTAACCATGCTGGAGCATCAACTGGACAAAATCATCTCCTTCCTTGAACCAAAAGTCATTAAACCCCAAACAGGAAATTTTAAATGAAATCTTAAATACAAACATTTTAATCTCCATATTTGTATGTCCTCCATCTTTTACTAACATGATGACATATTCATAATAGTATGATTTCCTTAATTTTTCCTCTGAGAATGTAAGTGAATTAAAATTTACATGGACAACAATGTTCAGCAAGCAAAACTTCAGGAAATGGGAACTACTTGACATAAGTAAATTAGGATCTCACTATAAGATTGTAAGAACAATTTAAGAACTGGGTGTGGTGATGCACACTTATAGATCCTGCTACTTGAAAGGTTGAGGTGTCAGGACCACATCAGCTCCTAAGTCTGAGGTCAGCCGGGGTAACAAACTGAGACAACAAAGCACAAACAAAAAAGCAAACAAAGACCTTACTATAATAATGTGAAAGTAAATATTATGTGTATGCACATATACACTCTAGCATACACACAAGATTAGGTCTAAAGAGATATCTTTTCTCTAGATCCCTAATAATCACAAACAATAAGGGTTGTTAATATAGTTCAATAGTAGAGCTTCAAGAGTTCAAGAGTAGTTGCTTAGCATGTGTGAGGTGCTGAATAAACCACACACAACTGAAAACACTAATAAGTTATAAAAAATGAACATACAGTTGATACGTGTAATTCATAGACCAAATACTACAAATATGAATAGTAATGCTGTACATATTCTTGTACACATGCTTTGGAAAACATACATGCACAATTTATGTTAGGTATTGTTATAGCTGAATGTATTTCCTTCCACAGACATCCAAGCTCATACATTGAAGCTCCAACTCTATTGTGACTGAATTTGGAAATAGGGCCTGAGAAGAGGTGCTATAGGTTTTTTTAAAAAGTCACCAAAGAGGAGCTAAAATCTGAGAGAGATTGGAAAATGTAGGTGAACCAGATGAGGATACAATGATAAGGCAGCCAGCAGCAAGCCAGGAAGAAAACCCTCAGAGGAGCAGAACTGGTCAATACCTTTGGTAGCCCTGGTTAGAAATAAATTTCTATTGGTAAAACCACACAGTGAATGGCATTTTTGTGATGGTAGCCCAAGTAAAACAATATGGGTACAGACCTAGGAGACAAGACCAACTGGTCAATAGTTAAGCAGGAAGAGTTTAGGCAGAAAAACAAGACTTGCAGAATGCTGGGGAGAAGAAGGGCAGACTCACCAGCCAAATGCAGAGGGGGCATGGCATGTAGAAAATGAGATAACAAGCCATGAGCCAAGTGGCAGCACATAAATTAATAAATATGGGCTAATTTAAGTTGTAAGAGCTAGTTAGTAACTAGCATTTATAATTAATAATAAGTCTCTGTGTGGTTATTTGGGAGCTGGCTGGTAGGACAGAAACTTCTGCCTACAGCTTAGGGTTAAGAGCACTGGCTGCTCTTTCAGAGGATCTGGGTTCAGTTCCTAGAACTTACATAGTGATTCCAGTCCCAACTGATCTGATGCCCTCTCCTGGATTCTACTGGCACAGACATACACACAGTGCACAGACATATAACACCCAAACATAAAACGTATAGAAATAAGTATTTTTTTAAAAATCCAATTGTTCCACATTGGAAAAGCTTTCTTCATATCCTCAACCCTTAGACTTTTCTGTCTTTTCAACTTTGACAATTCTAAAGGGTATATGATGCTATTGTATTGTGGCTTTAATTTCCACTTCTCAAATGATGGTTGAAATTATGCACATTTATTACATACCAGGATGTCTTCACTTCTGATATATCAAGTTATTTATCTTTGTATTGTATTGCATTTGCCTTAATGATTTTTAAGAGAGTATTTTAGTAATTAAGAGAATATTTTAGTATTTAGGAGAGTATTCTATATACATATATGTGACAAACTATTTGCATGATTAGAAGACTCCCAAGTTTTGGCATCTTAGTGGAATGAACACAGTGTTTGTTTACATATTTCTTCTGGTCTATAGAACATTCTAAAGTGAAGAGTGGCCCACATCTACCTAGTTTCACTCGATGAACTTTTTATATTATAATAGAAAAGGAGGGGAAAGCCAAACAGTCTTATATTAGGGAAAATCTTTACCTGTGATTATGTTTACCCAACACAGCAGCATCCAACATTAGTCCTTCTGTTCGATAGCTCCTTTCAAAGCCCTTATAATGACAAAAAAAGTGAACTTATGTAATATATGGTTACCTATATCAGTGGTTTCTTTTAAATCTCATATGCCACAGGACTTAGTTTCTCAGACACAGTGTATTCCAGGATCTCAGTACAAGTTTAATTCAATTTCATTTTTAATTGAGTTTTATGTCATCAAAAAGTCTATAATGCTCAAAATTAACATTTTTGCAATCTGATCATATGTTCATTTGATGTTTGGTTAGTTTAGTGAAGTTCTCATAATTAATCTCCTACTGCCATTTGAAAATATATATAACAGAAGCCTGTGCTCATACTTAAGGTAAATCATTAAAAATACACACACACACACACACACACACACACACACACACACACACACACACACACGGTTTCTCTGGAAAGATCAATTCAGGAAAACTGGCAGTTGTAATTGTCACTGTTTTGCAATTAAAAAAAAAAAAACAAAGCAAAAAACCATAGTTGAAAGTACAGTGACAGTGGGACTGGCTGGGCACCCTCATCACAACAGTTCTTGGTCTGCTCTAAGCCATGCCTTCACAATCTATGCTTCCTCCATTCTTTCCCACTTCCTGAGTTTGGTTCCGCAAACTCCACATTTATTATTTTTATCTACCTGATTTACTTCTAATAAATCCCCTCCACACTCAAAACAAAACCCGACAATAAACCATCCTTGATTTTGTTGTGGTGCCAGTTTACTTATGAAATTACTACTAAAAACATGAATTTGCAAGTGTTTAGAAATAAACATATTGCATTGCATTTTACTTTATATATTGGAATTCTGTGACAGATTTTGTCTGAAAAAAAATACCATAGTTTTAAATTTCTTATTTTGAAAATGCTGGTGTAGAACAAGTTCTAAAAGGTCTTAATAAAAACTTGAGTCAGATATTGGATGAGGAGCTGAAAGATCAGAGAAAAAAAGCAGCTAGCCACTACATCCTCAGAATGCTTCAGACTGCCCTGAGCTCCTGTCTGCTCCCACCTTATATTCCTCTCTCTACTCAACCATATCCCTTTCTTTGTCCACCTCCTTAGTGCTGGCATTAAAGACATGTCACTCCAAGTGCTGGGATCACCTTTGTGAGAGTTGTTTTTCTTTTAGACTGGATCAATTTCATGTGGCCCAAGGTGGCCTTGAACTAACAGAGATCCATCTGCCTCTGTCTCCCAAGTGCTGGGATTAAAGGTGTAAGCAACCTCTGTCTGGCCTCTGTGGCTAATCTATGTGGCTACTGGGATTAAAGGTGTGTACCATCACTGCCTGCTAACTAGGTGCTTTCCAGAAACCTCATCCTATTTAAGTGTTCTCTTCATATAAACTGAGGACAAATAAGAGTAACAATACTTTGGAAAACAGGTGGTATATAAGGCATTATCTCAGTGTGCTACAAAGTTTGAGAAACGCTTTCCTTAGAGTAATAGATTAAAAGTGAGTGACTGAGGATTATATAGGTTGGTGACTGCCATACCCTGACTTGGTATTTACTGTCTTCTCAGGGGGGAGGTGTCTCTGAGCTTCAAGGTGTTGAATGGGGAAGACTCATTTCTTCTTTTCAGGTTTTTTTTTTTTTTTTTTTTTTGGGGGGGGGGGGGGGGCTTTGTTTTGAGACAGGCTCTACTCTGTATAGGCCAGGCTGGCCTCCAACTCCTCATCCTCACACCCCAGCCTCTTCAGTGCTGTGATTACAGGTAAGTGCTACCACACCTGACTTGGGGGCCTTTTTAATCATGCACTATCTAGGAATCAATCTGGACAGTAAGCGCGTCTGTGAGGACATCAGCAAAAAAGTGCTGTCCAAGATCACCAGATGTCAAGGCCTAGCAAACACCAGGCCTTGGTGTCAGCGCACTTTCCTGAGCACACCTCCTCCTGAGGGATTCCCTGAAGCCGAGCGCTTGAATTCTGACAGTCGCTCAGGTGTATTGTTTTAACATTCGGGTTTTTAACATTCGGGTTTCACTCCCCGCTCCACGGTTACAAATGATACCTGAGGCCACAGGCGACAATTATTCAGATTTGCGCAGTCGCTCCGCCCTCCCGTCCGCCAGAGGCCGCGGGCCGCTTTGCGCACGCGCTGCATCGCAGACCCGGGGGCGCTCTCAGCCACGCGCCGCCCGCTGGGCGTTCCCAGCCCTAGCCTAGGGTGGTGAGGGGGAGCGCGCATGCGCACGCACTCCAGGTGCCCCGCCCCCAGGGGCGCGCCCCCAGGGGCCTGGGGCCTACTCCTTGGAGCGCCCGGGCCATGGAGGCCCTGCGGAGGGCCCACGAGTCTGTGCTGCGGCTGCTGCTGTGCAGGCCCTGGGCCTTGGATACCGCCCCCCGCCCGAAGCCCCGCGCCTCGGAGGTGCTGACGCTGCACCTGCTGCAACGGCGCCTGCCGCACTGGACCTCCTTCTGCGTGCCTTACAGCGCGGTCCACAACGACCAGTTCGGCCTGTCCCACTTCAACTGGCCGGTGCTAGGCGCCAACTACCACATCCTGCGCACTGGCTGCTTCCCCTTCATCAAGTACCACTGCTCCAAGGCTCCTTGGCAGGACCTGGCCCCACAGAACCGCTTCTTCACGGCGCTCAAGGTCATCAACCTGGGTGAGTGGCGGAGCCCTCGCCTGACCCAGGGACTCCTCCAGCCCGGGGCGAGGGGGTGGGTGGGGGTGGGCGGCTGCAGGTTCACCAGCAAGCTGCTCCGCCCCAGCGGGCTGCCAGCATCACCCTCGAGGTCGTGCCCTGCCACTTTTCTTGCAGGAGGACCCTGCCTTGTGCAGCGAGGAGCGAGTCAGGAAACGCCCCCACTTGGACAGTAGCTCTGAAGTTTCCTTAGCAGGAGTCATTCCTGCGCTCTTCACTGGCAGGGAGCCTTTGGAGGACATAAACAGGACGACTTTTAAAGTTTCTTTGTCTTCTTTATGTGAAATCTCAGCAGGCGTTTTGCTAAAAGCAGTAGGTTCTCTCCAGACATAATTCTTTTCAGGTGCTAGACTTAAAAGATACTTAAAAGAGGGTGCCTTTTTTAGTACTTATGTTCGGACTGTATCTCTTCCCGCTAGATGTTTATGTTATTTTGGTTTAACAGCAGGTCAGGATCATGGATCGTAGATGTAATAAATAGCATTATATAGATCTTGGAAAAATACAAGCCCTCGAGATGTTTCCGACCTATTAATAGCTACTAAAAAAATGAACGTAGATTGAAATTTTAGTTACTCAAACTACACACAAGGAAGCCAATCGGCATAACCCAAATATTTTTTAATCCAAAATTAAACCAAACTCTATGGGGCTATACTAGTACTATATGTAATCCAATAGTTCATTAAATTGAATAAGGCATGGTCGTTTCTGCTTATAAGAAACTCACATGCCACATAGGATTTTTGAACTATTGTCCCACTGGCACTGCCTTAGGCTCAATCTAGGAAGGAGATTATACAGCAGTGTATATAATACTTTAAAAAATGTCTCATTACTTGGCTGATGGACTATATAGAGCATACCCAATAATTTTGAGGTTGATATGAAAGTTAAGTTGGTATGAGATGATCTAGAAACTTAAGACTGAGTATGTGGAAAAGCTGGAGTGCTAACTAGTTGTGAAAATGAGTTTAGCATTTTCAGAATCAGTAGGAATCATTCTTTTCCAAATGTAGAGTGATAGATTAGGAAGACTGGAAGGATAAGGGATAGGTAAACCATATAGACTAAATCCCTTATTTAAAATGCCACAATTTACAGTTAACTTTCTTTTAAGACACCTGTCATGATTAAGGGATCTCTTTTAGGTGTAAGTCATTAAGACACCAAAAGGGAAAAAAAATACATTCCCACATAGAAAGGTAAATAAAACCTTAAAACAACAACAACAGATGTAGGGGTGATTTTTGTTTGTTTTTAATGTGGAAGAGTGATTTAATAGTCTGTGAGCTATGAACTTCTTGAAATTCTAAACAATGCTATTTAAATGGGAAGAAGAGTTCCAAGTGCAGCAAGAGAGAAAGTGTTCCTGCATGCTTCAATACAAATTGCTTTACTCAGAAAATGTTTCTGGGCTTTTTTTTTTTTTTTTTAAACCAATTTAGTGATATTTATTTTGCATTTTTGGCCTGAACTAAAAGAAATGTGAATTAACAGGGTCCTAGTCTGTGATGTATAGTTTGTCTCTGTGGATCCATTAAATCCTTAGTTGGTAGTAAGAATACAAAGGATTTTTTCCCCTCATCCTCCCTTCTAAACTAGTAGTAATCAGAATAACTCATTTTCTGTTTTGTAAATAATAAGGATTTCTGTTTACTCATTTTTTCCCCCTTTCTCCTCCACCTTCCCTTCTGACATTTTACTGATGATTTATCAGTCTAAGTATCCTGCTGGGAAATAAATTAAGATTTAAGAAAAGCAACTTACCATTGAAATAAATGGGTAATAGGAGCCTTACTACAAAGTTCCCATTTTTAAAGTACTTAATTCAGCAGTAGTTTACCTACTGTTCAGTTAACTCAAAATGAATGATTATACAAAGAACTATTTCTCAAGTTCATTTTGATGTTTTCTGTCTCTGGTAGTCTGATTTTTTTTTTTTTTTTTTCATGGAATGGTAAAGATTTGATTTTGAAGCATACAGACTGAATTTTTAAAAAATCCATAAAATACAGAGGCAACAAATCTTTCTTAGTGCATTATTATCTGCATTCTAAGGTGGGAAAGAAAAAAATCCAAAATATTCATTCATTCCAACAGAGAATTTCTGACCCCTGTCAGCAAGTATGAATGATAATGGTTCCTTTCTCTGCTTACTATTACACTAGTAATCATTAATCAGTTCTTTATTTTATTGGGGGTATTTATTTGTATGGTTTGTTTTCAAAAGTATAAATTTGAAAAGAATATTTGACTGAAAACTGATAATTACCATAAAAAATAATTCTCAGGGTCACTACCATTCCCTACACTCAAACCTTAGTGTTTGGTTTAAAGGGCACATTGTATATATCTTGCATTCAGTGTATGTAGAAAATTAATAATTTCTTCTTGGACCTTTTAAAATTCCTCATCCTATTGATTTTCAGGTTTTGGAGTAGTAGTGTCATATTGGAATTCATTTTTTATTATTATTATTTCAGTCTGTACCCCATAATTCTTTCTTACGTATGCCTACCATGTCACATTCTTTTCTTGTCCCTCTGCCTTCTCACCACACACCTCTTGATTTTCTTTTTCCTTTTGGATGAATGATTTGCAAATAGTTTTATAGAGTAGCTTTTGAGGATTTAATTTTGTGATAGTCCCTGGAGACATTTGGGATTCTTTGGAGCATGACGAGGGCAAAGACAGCAGTGTACTGTAGAAAGTTCCTTGGGAGTTCCAGGGGATTCTATGATAATAACTTACAAACTGTAACCTGGTATGTTTCTAAAATTAGAAAAGTACCTGAGCAGGAGGCATCTGGCTTCCCACTCCACCATCCCATTACCAGCTGGTAAAGCCTCCTCTGCTGGCTCTGGCATCACAGAATACTCCAACATATATATTCAAAGATAGCCCTTCGGGAAAGGAAGAAAAACTCAGAGTCAGATCAGTGTTGAATATGTGTTGTTTTCTCTATTAACTAGAAAGTGATTTTCCAAATGAGCAGTTATCTTTTTGAATTGCCTCTTTCTGCCCATTTCCCACATGGCAGCAATAAAATTAATACTTGTGCAGGGCCTGCAGTATTTGTTTTTGATCTGTGTGCCTGTGGTTTTATACAGACATACATATATACAGTGTGTTTTTTTAATATTTTAATAGTCATTGATTTTAAATAAGTACCTTAAAAGTTAAGAATTATGGAAGTCTGTTTTGCATCCAACATAGCATCATATGCATATGAATCCATATTTCTGGATAGTATTATGTGTTTAGTTTGATATATAACATGCAGCAGTTACTCTCAAATAAAACAGGGAAGCCTTATTAATGGCAGTCTTCAAAGACAGAGAGAAAGACTTATTGGAGTCCGTGCAGATAAGCTGAAATAAGATTGTTTTCAAATCAGTTATAGAATTACTAATGGGAGTGTCATGCTGGGTACAGTAAACTCTTCCTAAAAGTTAGAGTTTTGTCTAAAAAGGTTTTTGAACAAGTTTCTAAGTTGAACAAAAATTTCTTTATCCATCATTGTTCAACCTAACTTAAAGAACAACAAAGTGGACCTAGTAATTTTAGCTCAAAGCAGACAATAATGGATATCCTCTACTTATCTGTGAGAATATAAAATTATTTCATAATTAATTAAGGATCATGAATTAAGCAGGTGATCTGTATTAAAGTTTATATCAGTCTCATTTATAGTTTTAAAAATCTAGGCTCACATAATTGCTACTATGTTCCACAAAGAGATCAAGTTTAGCTCATCAGTAATCATAGTGAGCATCTGGTCACACATTTCTGTTTCTACAGCTTTGTTAACATTGCTGAAGACTGTTTTCATGATCAGTAACATGACATATGTTAGTACATGATTAATAAGTACTGATCTCATGTAACATATTCATTTGTTTTCTAGGTATTCCAACTTTGTTATATGGACTTGGCTCCTGGTTATTTGCCAGAGTCACAGAGACTGTTCATACCAGTTACGGACCAATAACAATCTATTTTCTAAATAAAGAAGATGAAGGTGCCATGTATTGAGAGTGTACATTGGAAAATACAAATGTCAATGAATTTGTTCCCCAGTGTGTGTGTGTTTGTATGTGTGTGTGCAATATTTATTTTTGATCCTTTAAAATAAAATGCTGGCAAAACCTTTGTCTTTCTGTGGTGTGTAGTTTTTTAAGATGAATCACTACCCCCTAGAGGGAAGCTTTTTCTACATTATTATATATTGTGTACTGTTTAGCTAATGGGAATTAGAAATACACATGGCTTCACTCCTGCTTCCCCAGAACTAGGTTAAACAAAACAAAAACAAAAAAAAAAAAACAAAAAAAAGTCTATAAAGACAGATTCTATAGCTAGATATTAACATTTTAAATTAGCTCTGAAGAAAAAAATTCTCCACAAAAAAAAAAAAAAAATGGAAAATCATGGTGGAGGTGGGGGGAATATAATGTGGGTGGAAAGGAGATGATGTTGAATACTTAGTGGAGATGATATAATGTCATTGACAAATTGAATATATATGAGAATCTGATTGCAACTGAAAACTTAAGCATTCCGCAGTTAAGATTTTGCATGGAGGTGGTTTCTTTTGTTTTATTTTTTAAGCTCTTGTATTATTTTGTCTGTACTAAGTGGTAGGAATAAAAGGCAGGTGTATACCTATAATCCCCAGCAGTAGGGAAGTAGAAGCAGGAAGATCAAGAATTCAAATTCACTCTTAGCTGCAGGGCATCTCCAGCATCAGCCTGGGCAACTTGAGACCCTAATAACAACAAAAGAAACAAAAAGAACACAATGCCATAGTTCTTCTTAATGTAGTTATAGATCTTGTCATTGTAAATTCAACAAGGTGAGTGAAATTAATACTCATTATTATTGTTAAAGTAACATACTGCAAAGCTGTAAGAAAATGGAGGTCTAGGAAGACCCAGAATTTGACAGCTGTTAGGAAAGCAGTGAACTGAAACACCACACATTCACAGACTTAGTGACCATGGAGAGTGGGCTGAAACTTTAAAACCCGATACCACTCTTGTATTAAATTTTATTAAGCTAATTGTGTTGTTGAAAGCAAAGTCATTAAAAATATTTATCCTTGGAGATTGTCACAAAGTACCCAGATGAATGGTAAATTTCCAAAATTTGGAGTAATTTAGGGAGAACTAAGTAGGACTATTTAATTCCTAAACCAATGGGTGTTTAAGATTTATGATCACTTCATAATTACAGACATGCATTGTATAATGTTTTATGTTAATGTGTTGCTGGTACTGCAGTGTTTACACATTTTTGTAGGAAAACATTTTACACAATTTCATCTAACCAACATTTGGGTGTTATTTCTGATGAGTTAATAGAGAGTGAACTTCCAGAAATGACTAAGTGAGACCATCAGAATAACAAAGTCACAAACGGGCCCATCAAATGTAGTCATTTTAAATGTGCTACAGATAGGGAGCTGTACTAATACATGTATTGTTCACTTGTCTAAACACAATTCTAAGTAACACTTTAGTCAAAGAAGTACTTATGCCAATATATTTAGTCCAGAAAAATATGCTTGACTCTAGTTAAATGAATGGCTTGTCCAAAGAAAATGGTGTTACAATAAGCTTCATTAATAATAAAACGACTGTTAGCATTTTGCAAAGAAGGCTAAAACTGATTTCCTCTGTAAGGACAAAGTTAAATAACTATAGCTCATAAGTTTTAAGTCAAATATTGCTCATTCGCTGCTGCTGATCATGTCAATACATGCCGTAAAGGTTTGGTCTCAACACAAGGTTGATAAAGTTGTTTTTATTACCAGACCATAAATAAAGCTTTTCAGTCCAGTTGTACCTCTTTCCATACTGGTCTGTTTGATTTCTGATAATCTTACTGCTGACTCTGCTTACCTGTTTTTCGATAGCTGTAGTCAGTGTGACTTCTTGTCCGTATGATGATAGGTAAGTCTCCTAGGAGAACATCTTTGACAAACTACCTTATTGATCTCTGTAATTCTCTGCTGTTGCAGCATTAAATAGAGGCTTGATTTCTTGTCTGGTGTGTTTGCTGTGTAACAATTAAGCAAATGTAATATTTTCTTGTATTACATGAAAATCAATAGACCTCTTGCTCGTGTGAAGTTGATCATGGTGAAGGATGAACCAGTGATGGCTAGGGACAGAGCTCAAAAATTAAAATATAACTCATGGATTTACTAAATTGTAGTGAATCTTTTGTTATGAAACTTGCTTTCCAAGAAACAGCAAAGATTTTAACTTTTTCTTTCTTTCCTTCTTTCTTTCTTTGTCTTTCTTCCTTTTTCTTCCTTCCTTCCTTTCATTGTCTCTCTCCTTTTCCTTCTTTCTTTTCTTAAATGTTGTGTATTGCAGACAAACATAGCCCAGAAGGAATGAGTGTAAATCTAAGAAGCCAGGAGATTGAGTCTATTTCTGACTTCAGTGTTGTCTTTTTGCCTTAAGGATAATATCTACTACTTTGTGTCTCGCTTTTTTTTTTTTTTTTTTTTCCACCTGTAAGTTGAGAAGAACAAGGGATCTTTCCACCCTAAGATGTATCATGACTCTGGCAAGATGTCTTGTCAGGTAAAGCTCTTGCCATGCAAGCCTGGTAACCTGAGTTTGATCCCAGGATAGTATGGAAGGATGGAAAGACAGACCAACTCCGCATGTGCAACACACAGAGTGACACACAATTGTTTTTGTAAAAAAAAAAAAAAAAAAAAGTTTTAAACCATGTATCCCATGGAGGGATAACTGCCTTAATCTAGAAATCTAGAGACAGGAGAGAAGCCCTAGTCCCTACTCCACAGGACCTGTCAGATCTACATGACCCCAACTGGATGGCATTCCCCTACATATGAAATTGGGGTGGGGGAATGGGAGGGGAGGGTGTTTAGAGTGCATGTGAGAGGGCAGAGAGGGTAAAAGGAAGGGAGGGAGGGAGGGAGGGAGGGAGGGAGGGAGAGGGAACTGGGATCAACATGTAAAATAATAAATTAAATTTAAAAAAATTATTTGACTCCAAAATTTAAGTTGAAGGACAAGTTACTGGGGAAAAGGATTTCTATTTTTGTTTCCACAGAAAATGAAAAGATGTGGATTCCTTCCAGACTAATGTGGTTTGATCACGCCAGACCGCCTGAAACAGAGTACAAGCTGATCCTACATTCAAAACAGCTGGACAAAACAGCCCTACAGACTACAGCCAGGATTTCTGAATCTTCTTCGAATCCCCCATGACAGCGCCCCTTACCAGCAGGAAGTAGTTTGGAAAGAACAACGCCCAAATTCCCAAATATTGTGTATAAATGTTTGTTTTCATTTAATTGGACTTTGTTATATAAAATTAAATAAAAAAGAAAAAAAATAAAAGAAATCCTGAGCAATGTGGGTAGGCTCAACTCACTGTGGGTAGTGTCACCCTGGGTCAGTGGTCCTGAGTGGTTTAAGAAATGCTGAGCAATCCCTGAGGACCAAGCCAGCAGGCAGTGGCTCCTCCATGGCCTCTCCTTTAGTATTCACCTCTAGGTTCTTGCCTTGAGTTTCTCTCCTGACTTCCCCGGATGGGACTACAGCCATAAGCTGACACAAACCCTTTCTTCCTTAAGTTGCTTTTGTTTGTGGTATTTTATTACAACTATAGAAACCCTAACTAAGACAGGAAGGGAAGGAAGGAGGGAGGAAGGGAGAGAGGGAGGGAGGAGAGAGAGGGAGGAGAGAGAACAAAAAAAAAAAAAAAAACATGTATCATAATTATGCTTTTTAGCACACATTTTACTTTTATCCTGAATAAAGTCTATTTTCCTAACACACATTTTTTGTTCCTTTTATTCATAAAGGGTTTTATTAATAGATTTCAAAAGAATAAGGTGAGAAGGAGAGGGAGAGAGACTGAAGGCACTGAGTGCATATTTGCCCACACCCACTAACCTAAGACAACAAGGAGAAAACCAAGTAGGCCCTGCCCTTCTTGGTTTATGAAACTGTTGACCAAGATTTTCTACCTGCATTTCCTTAATTCAATTTATATTTAACAGTATCTGGTCTTGTGACAAAGGATAGAATTGTGTCATTTTCAGGAACTGAAATGGGATGAAACTGGGTGACAAATATATTCTCTTATTTATAGTTTCTAGACTTTATATGGTAACATGAATCATGAGTAAATGAAGTGAAATTGTCTAGGGCATTAAAGGAGATTAATAGGAGAAAGGATTCAAAAAGGGGAAAGGAAGGGGGAAGGGATGGGGTGAGTATGCTAATATTCTCTGTCTCTATATATGTAAAGTTTGTGTATATATACACAAAACTTTATTATATACAAATAAAATATCTGTGTGTGTGTGTGCGCGCGCACACGCACAATAAGTGTGCCTGTTTATACAGAAGCTAGAAAAGGTCAAATCACCTGGAGCTGGAGTTACAGGTAGTTGTGATTCACCTAAATGGGTTCCAGGAATGAAATTTAGGTTCTCTGAAAGAGCAATAAGCATTCTTAACTGTGGAGGCATCTCTCTAGACCCTACCTATGAGAGAGAGAGAGAGAGAGAGAGAGAGAGAGAGAGAGAGAGAGAGAGAGAGAGAGAGAGAGTTAATACAGTGTCAATAAAGACAAACTAATCCCGGCATCACTTTTAATGAAGATGTTAATGTTAACTTTTGGTACACCTTACTCTCTTCGCATTTCCACACAACCAATTAAGTGCTAGAAAAATTATAGGCAAAATTCTTAGTCCATATGTAAGCTGTGAGCTTTAAGAGACATCAACATATCTGGAATATGAAAGATGTTGTGATACTAAAAAAAAACAACTCTGGGGCTGGAGGAATGGCTTGGGGATTAAGAGCATTTAAGGCTCTTCCAGAGGTCACAGGTTTGATTCCCACTATCCACATGAAAGCTAACAATCATCAGTAATCCAGTTCCAGGAGATCAGACACTTTATTCTGACCTCCATGGGCGATGCATAAGACATGTACAGGTAAAATAAAAATAAATCTTAGGAAAAGTATAAAAGCCCCAGCTTTCTCTGTGGTGATATTCCCATACACCATGTTGTAC